TGTATGGCTACTACAGAGGCCGTTTTCCAGTCAGACGGTAATCTCTTTTCAGCTCATGATGTCCTAAAAAAGCTGCACGTCGGCCTCGCAATTAAATCAGCAACCGGCTTGATGATTGCTGGGCTAAATCCTTGTGGTCCTGTCGCCTTGGACACCTTAAGAGAGCCTAGTACCTCTGATACTTGCTCGACCGTTACTTGTAGTTCCTCCACTACATCTGTCCCCGAGGGTTGAGAAGCGTTTGAATCACCAGTGTCTAACCTTTGCACGCTACTAAAGTAAGCGCAAAGTGCATCAGCTTTACTGTGGTTTTCAGTTATAACCCTATCTCCATCAAGTACCAGTGGGCCCATCTCTTCTCTGGTAAATCCCGTTGACTGGACATACCCGTAGTACTTCTTTGGCTCCAGCTTTACTTTCTGGGCCAGCTTCATTTCGAAAAACCTTTTTTCTCCCTCACTAGGTTAACCGCTGCATTTCTATGGGCGGTGTACTGAACCCACGACCTATGTGTGTCGGCTGGTTGGTAGGCTCGCCAGCTTCGGTTCCGGTGTCTAATGGCCCTGGCTACTGTGGCCCGCCACTATTGCGGTTTTCTCTTATGCCTCCCATATCTTAACGGAGAAAAAAGATCCTGGAGGTTGAGGAGGTTATTTTTGATCAACACCCAGCATTTCTCCACGTTCGGGAACCCACTACATTTGTGCGGTGTATTCCCGAAGCCTTATTATGTTCATTCTGCCAAAATCCCTGTGCATCCGTAATCTGCATACGGGTGGCTTCGTACGGATATCGACCCCGATGAGGAGGTGACCACTCTTTCTTATCGGTGGATATCCAGTGACACTAATTACATCCTGCCCCATTTTGGAGATGACGAGATCCATTAGGGACGGTTCCTGCTGAGCTCTGAACCTGGTGCATAAGGCAACATGCTGAATGAGCGCCTTTATGCTTACCCACTCTAAATACCTTTCCGCCTGACTACCTTCGGTGCACCTCCCTGCCATCCAGTTTATATCGGGTAGGTCAAAGTCACCGACTATATCAGGCTTCGCTGATCCTTGAACCAATAGATCGAGTGCATCAATCAATGCCCGATCATCTGTGGTCTCAGCCCCGGGACATCGGTAGACACACACCATCGTAATTTTGCTGTCTGGTAACAGCAGAGTTACAGCACATAGTTGGACACTGTGCAGATTCACCGAACCATGTGCACAATGTCCTTCCTTATGAGTAAGACTACTCCTCCTCCTGGTGCTAGAGGCCGCTCCTGCCTGTGAATGGCAAATCTTTCTAGCACTAAACCTGGTGCCCTATCGTGATCCTTAAGCCATGTTTCCGATACAGCATTCAGGTCACATGCTGCTACAAGGAGTTTCATACACTTATTTCTAATACTGCAAGTGTTGGTTACAAGTAACCGACAGTTTGCTGTGGATGGGTTACCGGGTTCTCTATTTACTCTATCTTGGGCCTCGGGTGCAGCACCCGAGTTGGTAGCAAGTTTTTTGACGTCTTGCTCCCTTCATCCAGCTTGCTTCCCCATAGAAATGATGATTTTAAGTCTACGGGGGCTTCTATCGGGGTAGACATTCTCTTCACAGGAGTGCTTGCCACAGCCTCGGCTCCAAGGACGACAGGGCTGCTTTCGGCTGTCTCGATACGAGATAGCTTTGCCACTCCTCGTCCTCCATAACATCTTCGATCACTACTATTGGTGACACTTGGGAAACGCCGGTCGCTGAAGATCGGTTGCCGTCTGTCACCAAGAAGTGGCTCGGCAGGTTATGGTGCATTCTTGGTGCTCTAACACCCTGCATTCTAAGAGCCCCAGGAACATCCAGGGTTATCTTGTACCTACCCCGTGTAACGTGGAATATTTTACCAGTAGTTGATTTCTAATAGATTGTTCGGTGAATTCCACTAAAAGTGACCTAGCCGCTCGGGGTTCATTAGTTGGCGTCCTCCAGGCACCTACTCTACGAACTTTCTTGAGTACACACCTCTCCATGCCAGCTATCCTTAGAATATCTAGCACTCTTCTTCTATCCATGTCCCGGCGGTCTTTCGTTTCCTTAACCAGCGGCTTTTCGTTGTTAAGAATCAAAAGGGTTCAATGAACCCCGGTTGGGCCGTCTCCGCTTGCTTTCAGTGACCTAAGTCGATCACTGATCCTCTTTAATTGAACTTCTATGTCATCAAGGATGTTTTCCTTTACCCTAATGGGTTTACTCGTGCCTTTGCCAAAAGGCTCAACCCTAGTGGCTTTGGCAATGGGTGTCCTGACTGTACGCGGTACAGCAGAACCGACTGCTGTCCTCTCTTTGCTTATCACCTTGCAACCTTAGTTGGTGGGGTCAGCACTGGCTTTCAATGAATTCGCGTACGTTTTTGGCGAATTTAGATTCTTGCTCCCTGTGGCGGGGCTGATAACCGAGACGATCTCTGCAGGTAACCCCTTGGCAACGATCTTTAGCACTGCTTCTTTCGCTATATTTAGGCAAAATTTACATACCCACTGTAATCCTGGGTCTTTGCAGTACAAAGCAAATTGTTCTGGTGTTATCCCAGATCGATTTGCTCGAGCGAATCCCCCACAAACCTCACATTCTATGCCTTTCAACACCCGCTTTCCGCAATGCTCACTCAGGCATGGAAAGGCGGCTCTAGGCACCTTACTATAGATAGCAAGGTTTAGAGACGGAGAAAGTGGACCAAAAAATACCCAAACACATGCGAAATCTGAAATAATTCCAATGTCGTGACAACAAAAATTCGAAACCGATTAAACCTTCTCGAAAAAATGATAAACACCGGAAAGCTGTGCAAAAACGGCATAACCACACTTAAAGAAGTATGATACCAAAGTGAAACCACAATACAGTTGGTTTAACAGAAGAAAACCCTCAAAATTTCACTGTTTACCAGAGAGCGAGATTCACGCCATTATTTCGAACGTACCGCCAAGGTTGCAGAGGACTAAATGTGGCCACAGCCAATCAAGCGTTCAGAATTCCTTCGATGGTATGCTCACAACGTGGACGCCCAGCTCTGTTGAAAGAAGAATGAGAAACAGGATCTCATCCCACCAAGTTGGCGAGTGAATTGTTAGACGTGAGCATTCCATGATATGCACCAGTAAATAGGGAAAAGACATCCTAAACATTTGGCACGGCTACATTCGTCTATACTGCCAGAGATGGGAATAGTTCCACCCATTGCTTATCGAGTGCAGTCTTAAATGCTTGCACTGTTTGGAGGTTGACAATTTTCTTGGGAAGTTGGTTCCAACTTAGACTGTCCTAGCATCTCAACTCAGGATGTATCTCTGGAAGAGGAAACTTTACCCATGCGTCTTGACAACATGGTAATAAGCACCTCCTCAGTGATACAAAATCGGATAATCTTATCCCAGAGAGAGGCAATCTTAGACGTAAAGACGGAAGTTGCTAAACCGCAAGCTGAGTTGGTAAAGGTGAAGGCACTACTTGTGGATCTCTCTCCCCAATTCGAAGCCAGTAAAATGACCCTTAAGGTATCAGATCAAATCATCTTGGACACCGCCGATAAGCTGTCTGAGACAGAGATATGCAGCTAACGCATGATAATTTGGGGAAAGTTTCCAGGAGAAACACCCGCAGCTCATAGGGTCAAGAAAAAAAGGACAAGAATCTACGCTTCGCCCCACTAGTCGCCAGCACTCCCGACGCAAGCTTCGCCGACATAACCACAAATAAACCAACCATAGTCGGGATCCTCAACCGCAAGTTATTATCACCTATAAAACCAGCCCACGCTTCAGCAAAGGAGGTCAAAGGTCTAATCAAGATGCCCATCTTTCGACCAATGGCTGGGACGAGGGGATACTTGGTAATCCACCACCTAAGGCAATTCCCTCAGCTCATACCCCCGCGCAAACTAAATCTTATTTTTCTAAAACTAAAAACCTGAGAAACAATCTCTCTGCGCCAAAACCCGAATTGTTGGCAAGTGTCGCCAGGTCGCTCACAGAGTGAACGCCAAGACAGGACTGTAAGAAAAGTAAAACGCACCAACCCCTTTTTTCGCCCCCCAGTAGATTGATCTCGTCCACCAGACAGAGTGAAACCCCAGAAGATTGGCAAATCAATCTCGCCAGCACGCAACATGGGCGCCAAACACATGGCACCATCCTCCAAGAAGCTCCCACGGGTGCCACGACCCCCTAGAAGCAAAAAGTTCGAAATACCACTCCAAAACTCTCCCAAGTTCTATTAGACCTACAAAGATACATAGTGAGCAGGTGCTGAAGTGCGTATCAACAAATTACCTCAGTATAACTAATAAAATCCTTGAACTGCGACAATTGGCGCGCGATAAGAAGCCGCGCGTATTAGCCCCAACTGAGACGTGACTAATTCCCGAGATACTAGATGGTGAAATAATGATAGATGGTTTCACCTTGGTCAGACGAGACTCAAACCGTGGCCATGCGGGTGGATTAGCTCTCTTCCTTAATGATTCCTTCCCACCTGCTTTGCGTGTTCCCCTTCCTATTATTCAACCGATCGAGACCCTATGGGTCAATATCGTCTTCCTGAGCAGAGATTCACTCTTCCTGCGGGTTGTTTATTGCTCTCCATCAAGCCCACAGGAGAAACGTCAATCACTTCTAACTCAGCTTCGCGAATTCCGTCCTATCTGCACTTTCTCACACCTTCTTATCCTGGGCGATTTTAACGCCCCGAATATCGACTGGCCCAGATGCCACTCCAGAGATAGAATGTTTGGTGCACCCCTTATAAACCTCTTCAACAAACACTCGTGGTTTCAACACGTAGTATCTTCCACGAGATACCGTGTCGGCCGACATCCCTCTTTGCTTGATCTTGCGATTACCGATGAATGATGGCAGATTGACAAAATCTCGTATCTAAGTCCTGTTGGTAAGTGATCACCTCCTACTTTCCTTTGACCATATTATCCGCTGGCCAACTTGCAGGCTCTCTTCGAGAATGTTACGTTCCTTCAAAAGAGCCGATTTTGTTTTCATACGAGAATTCCTGGCCAACAGGCTTGGCTCCAACAATATTGATACTGACCCGAACAATCTGAATGAGTTGCTCGAGAGTCTGATTCTCGAAGCGGACGACCTGTTTATTCCTAGAGTTCAAGCTGTATCTGACCAAAGGCCTCCACCGCCCCGCTCCAATCGACACCTAATGGACGAGCGGGCTCGTTCATTTGCTAGACTAAAATGTACTGGGCTCGACGTCGATGCTGTCGAGTTCAAGTGAATCCGCAACTTATGTAACCAGAGAGTTAGGGAATACCACAATAGACAACAGAAAGCAATTCTTCTTCGTGCTAGAAGTAACTCTAATTCCTTATTAAATTTACTCCGACGTAAAAGGCAACCAACCTCCTTCACTCTAGCCCTCAAGCTACCTGATGGCTCTCCTGTAACCTCCTCTACTCAGGTAGCAGAGATCTTCTGGTCTCATGATTCCACCTTTAAATTCCCTCCTGTCTCTTCCCACCCCAATCTTCCCTCTCTTAATGCACCACCTCCATTAGAAAATTTCCTCGTTTTTCCAGGGGAGACCAAATCATTCCTCAAATCCCTGAATCCCTTTAGTTCGATGGGACCAGGAGGCATACACCCTCGAGTGTTAAAAGAAGCCACCTCGGCTCTTGCCCCGTACTATTCCACCCTATTCCAGAAGTGTCTAGATGTTGGAATATTCCCTTCATCGTGGAAAAAGGCATCATATCCCCCCAATTTGAAAAGGGGTCAACACACTCCAAGTAGTTGTAGACCCATCAGCCTGACTAGCGTGCCCAGCAAGGTCTTTGAACTGGTCTTAAAAAGGGCAATTCTAAAACACTTAACAGACACTCAGCTTCTTTTTCAAACCCAATACGGCTTTCTCCCCGGCAGATCCCGCATTTCCAATGTGCCATCTGTCGTAGACAGCCTAACACAAGCTCATGATGACGGCTTGATTCCTCACGCAATCTTCATTGATTTTGCAAAAGCTTTCGATCGTGTCTCCCACGCTCCCTTACTCTATAAACTCAAGTCATATGGCCTCAGTGGTAGGCTCCTCGCCTTTTTCTCACGAACCGCACCTGTTCGATTCGCGTAAGTTCATCACTCTCCTCTGACTCTTCCATTTCTACCGGAGTCCCGCAAGGTTCCATCCTTGGCCCCCTCCTCTTGCTTTTATATATTAATGACCTGCCACACGGGATTGGGGTTAATGTAACAATGTACGCTGATGATGTGACGATTTGGGGCACCGACCCTGTAGATGTTCAGTCAGCAATGGATGCAGTCAAAGACTGGTATACTGCCTGGAACCTACCAATAAACGACGAAAAATGCGTTAGTATGTTGTTTGGAAGGGTCCCCGCACATAGCTTCAAAGCTAACGCTTCCATGATTATGGAGAGTATAGAACACCACAGGGTCCTTGGTTTCTGGCTGACCAGGTCACTTTAATTCTCTTACCACAAAAAGGTCAGTAGATCCGCCTTCAGTGTTCTTAACTTCCTAAGACGTTCTTTTCCCAGAATAGATAGAGATGACTTTCAGATTCTATATAGCACATACATCCGACCCTTATTGGAATTGAGAGTCAAATTGCTCACTCCCGCCTGGTGTGCAATTGTACGGCCCTGGAGCGTGTACAACAGAGGGCGACAAAATATGTGCATGGCTTGTCCTCCATCACATACCCTACACGCTTTTCCATCTTGAATCTTTATCCCCTTGATAAGAGGTGACATCTTCCTATTGTACAATCTCTTCAATTCCGGCTGAGTTGATGACTTCTTTGTGTGCACTAGTACGAACAATCTTCTTGGGCATAGCATGAAACTCTTCTAAGATCCGAGACCATTGGGCCTAGCCTCGCACCCGTGTAATACTTCAAGACTTCAAGACCAGTGCTGAAATGTCAGTTCAGTTCAGTAAGTCTTGATGTCTTGAAGTCTTGAAGTATTTCACGGGTTCGAGGCCAAGCCCAATGGTCCCGGATCTTGGATTGTCGGTTTTCGATTGATGAGTAATGTCCGCTGACGAGAATTTGAGAGCATGGCCCGCTTGTGAGGGTGATTGAAGTGGACAAGATGACCTTGTGGCGCGTGTTCAAGTTTTTGTCGTGGTTAGTTTCAAGGAATTTTTATTTTCTCTGTATAGGCCTTTTAGGCGTAATAGTTAGCTCTAATGTTACATTTTATTTTATTTTAATTTTATTTCTACTGATATCAGCTCACCGAGCTCTCTATATATTGACATCGTCTCTTACTGGCATCTTTGCTTCCGTTCGAGCGGTAGATTCTTAGTAAGTTTGCCTTACAGGTAAGCACACTCACTCTATAGATTACTAGATGGATGCTGAAGCTTAACTAAGGTCCCGAAAGGGTACAAATGGGAAGGCGGAGTTTCCCTGTGGGAACGAAAGGTGCGAGGGAGATGTTACAGATGGTATCTGCTGCGATGCATGCAATGCGTGGTACCATCCAAAGTGTCGCAGGTTGTCCAAGAGAGCCATGGGGCTATACGGGAAGAACCCCTGTTTGCAATGGGCCTGTCCCAACTGCATGAAAAGATGTAGGCTGTCGTCAACCCGGAAAAGTCGGGCAGCTCGTGAATCTAATGACAGCTCCACGGTTGTAGCCGAGGTCGAGGTACTGGAGAAGAGGAGCGTTACCCCGGACTGTGAAATGAACCAGGATGTCTACAAAGAGCTGAACAGGATCACGGCAGAAGTGGAACAACAAGAGAGAGCGGGAGCAAAAAACCGCATGGGTTGCAATGGCTCTGAAGGAGCTCGCTAAGCAGTCGGATGTGGACACCGGCAGAAACCGAAATGTATTAATCAAGAGAGTGCCCGAACCGTTCTGTTCAGAGGCCAAATAGGGGGATAGACAAAACCGGCACCACTTAATTAATATCTCACGTGTGGCTGACATTCCAGAGCATGTTGCCATTAAAAGAGTATTCAGGATGGGAAAATGTGGAGGAGATCCACCTAATGAGATCAGAAGCCGAAGGCCATTGCTGGTTGAATTTGCAAACCCCAGGTTAAGGGACGGGTTATTGGTAGCGGCTGAACTAGTGCCCGTGGCTACTAAAGAAAACCTTCCGGTGGAACCTAAGCAATCAGCCAGCTGGAGGAGGGACAAACCAGCAACCCCTGTTGGCACAGTTTGGGGACGCACATTGATGGTCCAAGCTACGAGGCTCAATACGCTTCTCTTCAGCCAGGGGCGTAGCCCATCGGTAACCTATGCCGAAGTTGCGGGTGGTTCCTCAGACAGAGGTTTTACCCCTAGCCCAAAAGCCGCGTCGTCCCCCTTTTATCCGGTATCACTGAAGGGGGGGGAAGCAAAATACGGACCGGGCACTCGAAATTAATTTCCGAGTACCACAACCAGAAGCCAGTGAAGCGCAACAGGATCTCGGTACTCTACACAAACGCAGACTGTGTAGAAAATAAATGGAACGAGCTCCGAGCGGAAGCCTCAGGATGCGCTTGCATAGTCATCACAGAGACATGGCTGAAACGTGACTTCCCTTTTAGTTTATGCAGGGCGCCTTGGCTACAGGCTACACGGAGTCAATAGGGGGATGAAAGAGTTGGAGGTGGAGTTGCCCTACTAATACAGGATAGCATTGAGCAGGTACCAGGGGCTAAATTAATAACGCCGAACATCCAAGCACTTCCATGTAGAGTCAGGAATCATGGGCGTAGCACACAAATCCTGTGCGTGTACGGTAGTTCGTTCTCATCAACCTAGTGGGATGCCCAGCTTCTGACCTACTTGAATTCAGTCAACTGGTTCGATGAGGGGCTAATCATAATGGGGGATTTCAGTGCCCCGGGTATTAGCTGGGAAGACAACTGGGCACCGAATGGTACATTTGGCGCAAGGTTGACGGAGTACATAATG